TCTGGTAGCAGTTGTTGTAAAATTGCCATTTAAAGTTGAGGAAGGCAATATTTGTAATATGTAACAGACATTGTAAAAAAACACAACTCTGAATCACCAGGCAACATTCACCATTGGTTTCCATCGCAATTAAATGTATGCATTTAGTGTTACCCACTGCCCCCCAAAAACATTCAAGGAAAAAATTCAATGCCCATGAATGACCAAGTTTAACCTTGGGCCTTGCATAGTGAAAGAAAACATTCAACTTTAATCTACCTTCCAGTTTAACAACAACAAAACATCGCAAAGTCTGGATGTAGTCGGTGGGCCTGTTTATGCTAGTTTACTTAGAAAGGGCTTAGACAGCTGGCCCAAGGCATTTTTACAAAGTTGGCATTTGAGTTGACATTAAAATTCCAGTGTGTCCCTACACAGGGCCTGTTCTTAGATAACTTGTACATCACTGGAAAGTGCAACATTGTAAATATTTTTGGGCAACAGAGACTACAGAGGCACAAAGAAATGTTATAAGAATTTGCTCGCTAATGCTCTCTGCACGGCGGATTTTCTAGTGCTGAATCTCCTATCTGACCATACACACAGCCGGTTTAAAGAAGCTTATGCTTAAATGACTATCTTGCCTGAGTGAAAATACCGTGCTTGCCAAAAATAGCATTGGCTACGCCGTTTGAAGCTGAGTGGAATACAGTGTGCCTTGAGCGGTGTTGGAGGGGTTTGGGTTCTTGTTCAATTGCTCCACAGCCAGTCCTTGAGCGGGGGAGAATTATTTCCTCAACTGAGTGTGGAAGGGCTGCAAAACAGGTCAGAATGTGTTGTTTATGGAAAAACATTGAAAATCACAGCTAAGGTGCTGCTCGGGCCGCCTGCATCCTATTTGGGAGAGTCTGGGTTTGAGTCCTGGTGCCACTCCCGATTCCAGCTTTCAGCTCATGAGCACACAGGGAGGTACTGGTGATAGCCGATACAGCCGGGTTCCTACTACCATGGTGGGAGAGGCCTGGATGGAATTCTAGCTCCTAGCTGCAGCCTGGGCCAGGTGTTGGGGTTTGAAGAATGAACTAGTGGATCAAAGATCTCTGACTCTTTCTGCCTTTCAACCAAATATTTAAAAAAAAAATTAAAAAGAATTATAACAGTCTCATATTGGGAAAGCAACATAACACTTGCTGTTTTCATTGCAGGGCCGGAGAAAATAAAGGTCAACAGTTGCTTGGCTGCACTGGCTGTGCCAGATACTCTGATTCTGAACACCAGAGGAAGTGCAGCAGAACTGGAAGCGAGGATTGCCTGTTTATCAAAGGGTTGGCGCTCAAGGAATGCTCACCACGCACATCAGCTACCCTCAGGTGATGTCCATGAGAAAATCCCTTTCGGCCAGGGAGAAACCCATGTCGAGCGAAGTCTCGGGATCTCCTAGCCACTGATTAACCACGAACACGTGCAAAGAGGGCGTGTGTGCAACTCGGTGTTGGCAGAGCAGGTGTCGCTCTGGTTGCATGAAAAGGGGCCCCAGTCATCGCTCTGCCCTCTTGGGGCGGCCACCATAAACAGGCCACCCCAAAGGCTTCTCTCTCTTTTGATTGTTTTTTAAAGATTCATTTATTTGAAAGGTAGAGTTACAGAGAGAGAGAGAGAGAATCTTCAATCCACCGTTTCACTCCCCAATGGCCATAACTCTGGCTGAAGTCAGGAGTCTGGAACTCTCTCCGGGTCTCCCCTGAGGGTGGCAGGAGCCCAGGCACTTGGGTCATCTTCCACTGCCTTCCTAGGCGCGTTAGCAGGGAGCTGGACTGGAGGTGGAGCAGCCAGGACTCCAACCAGTGCCTCTATGGGATGGCTGCACCACAAGGCTGGCCCCCTCTCTCTTTCCTGAAGCTCCTGAGAGATGCCAGTGAGGCTGGGAATGTGTCTCAGAGTCCACTGGGCCTTTCAACCACAGCCCAGGCTCTGGTCTGACCTCCACCTGCAGGGGTGTCTGAGGACTTCCTTGGAAGGGGGAGACCCCCACTGTTTCCCCGAGAGCAGAGGCAGGGCCGACCTCGGGGCAGCATCCCGGCTGAGGCCCAGGAGTCGCAGCGCTCGGTCCTTTGTGAGCGGCTGGAGAAGAGAGGGCTCTGGATCCTTCCTGCTGTGGCTCCTTCCCAGTAGCGCCCTCCCCAGGCCTGACACAGCAGTGCCACTGACAAGGGCAGGGCTGGGAAGCAGATGACAGCACAGGTACTAAGCCCCAGACTTGCCAAACAGCATACAGGCTGTGCTCACCAGACTCAGCTCTGCCACGGTGGCACCAGACTGGGGAAGCTGATTTCATGTAAACAAGGACAATTTCTGTAAACACAGACCACATGGCCGGGGACACGGATCCTCAGCTGCAGCCAGCCTCCTGGCTGCTGGGGCTTTCCCGAGTTACAGCTTGCATGCTCAGGACCGTTCACGGTGCCCAGGACGCCATTCCAACAGCACACATGGAAGAGTTCAGTGAGAATGTGCAGTGGAGAAAAAGGTATTTTGAATGTGGAAATTTGAAAACACAAATTTTATAACCAAGTCTTAGATGGGGAGGGTCCTTTTCAGGTTCTCAGGGTATTTTTTTTTCCTGAATGATCTTGGAAGAGTGAACAAACACAACAAAACTGCATTTGGCAGTGGGAGTTGGAAGAGCCAATGTTTTTATTTCAGTAAAGTCCCAATTAGTAGCACATTATCATAAAATGTTGGCTTTTGAAAGCGGATTTGAACTTTTATACAATCTGTTTTTAACACTGGCATGCACACCTGTGTACATATATATTGATAGTGTCTCTGGTTCTATTTCTTGATTTAAAAACTTGATAGAACGAAAATGTTCAATGTACACTATAATGAAAACACTGCTGTTACACTAACCAGATGGCTTGTACTCCTTGGAAAATGATTTAACGCATTTTGAATTAGAGTGATAACTTTGTTATTTAAAGAACTCCCTCCAACTGTAGACAAAGGTCGGTGCGTGTCCCGGATGTGCCTCCTGGGAAGAGTCGCTGGGTCTGAGGCACTCACTGCTCTCCAGTTCCCATCCTGGTGTGTCTGAGCCTGTGGCTGGGAATCTGCTCCCACCCTGGGAATCCCCAGCACCAAGCAGGTGCCAAGCTCACCCTGGTGAAGAGCACATGGGTTTGGAAGTTGAGTTTTAAAAAAAGTGGAGGTGGGTAGAATTGCTTCACTTGATCTGTTCCCCTTTTTAAATATATTTTCCAAATCACAGTCTCCTATTCCCTGAAGAGTGATGTACTGCATGTGACAACATGTTAGCGCTGGCCTCCATCTTGCCTAATCTGTGAGTGAAAGGGGACGACTGATGTGCCTGTTTAAATGTCATCAGCAGTAATTCTGAAAAATACTCTACTGACATGGTACAGGTTTAGTCAAAGTTCCAGTTGACCCAAATGTCAAAGTAGGTTTTCTTTTTCTTTTTTTTTTTTTTCTTACAGGAATTCCCTATATGCTAGAAATACAGGAACTTAAGATCTTCAGGAAGTCTTTTTGTAAATATCTACCTTTTACCTCTGGTGAAAAGATGGATGGAAATCAATAGTTGTTTCCATCTATTAATTAGGAGAGGGGTGGCCTGGTGGCATCCTGATGAGCCCCGGAGGCTGCACCGAGCTCCACCGTGGGAGCCGTGTGGCACCTTCTGGCATCACCACCACTCCACAAGCCGGGCTCCATTACTTCCGTTTCCCGGCAGATGGCTAGGGCTTCAACATGTCCAACACCACCCAGCGCAAAGCTGGTCCCCACATCCTGGCCCCAGCTGTCCATGAGTCTGCACTCCACATGACTCCAGGGTATAGACAACAGCCGTCCGTTCCCTCCACCATAGACTTGAAAGGAAGAAACCGGGAAGTACAGCACTTGTCAGTCACACACAGGAACAGGTCTCAGGCAGGCCTCTGCCCTTGTGGTGAAGACCCTCACACACCCCATCCTGAAGTGCCTGCCTTTGGGGCCCAGCCCTAACCCCCGACTCCAGTCTCCTGCTGGTGAAGACGCTGCAGGACAGAGTGATGGCACCAGTGACTTCGGTTCTGCAACTCACATGGGAGGCCTGAGCTTTGGTCCTGGCCACTGTCGACGTTCCTATTTGAAGCTTTCCTATGGACCACAGCACTACAGTACACAGCACTTGTCTTCCTTCCCTATGTCTCACTAAAATAAATTTCCATTTAAAGCAATTATGAGAATCCCAATTTGCTTTAAATTGATTAAATCAATCTGTAAGCCTGTGCAGATTCTTTATCACAATAATTTTCTAGTTGTCCAAATTGTGTCCCCATGTTAACTTTTAAAACTCCATTCTACTTAACCAAAATTTATTCACACTTGGCTGAAGGAGAAATCCTAAAATCTAGAGAATTTTTCAAAGTCATTCCAAGCTGAAATGTTCAGAAGTTCATTAAAGTCGGTTTTCAAGAGAATCGTTCATTTATCACCTGATCTCTTGGAAAGTATCTGCATAGATGTGTGGTTTGATTTTCCTAAAATGAAAGCATCCAAATTTAATGTGTTTGGGATGCAGGGGAAAAGAAACCAAGACACAGACTCAGAGTGATTATCCTTGATCCTCGATGTCTTTTCAACCCACCTCACCTGAGGGTGAAGAATTTTCTTGCTAGTAAAAACCTTTGATAAGTTATTGCATAATTAGCCATGGAGTTAGAACTATTTGCCCCCAAAAGTTACAGTATGACTTTAACTTAACATTGCATTGTGTCCCATGGTTCTCTAAAATTTGAATTTTCAGGTTTTAAGGACCCGATGGGATTCAAAGTGGAAAAACGTTGATGATTCTTTCACAGTAATACTATTTGCTTAGCCTCTCTAAAAATAGAGATGAAACAGATTTACCATCCATGGCTGTATGTTTTTATACACAAGCTTTCTCTCCTGACAACTGCTGGAGAATTAAACAAATTGGCGATCATTTTATTTTTAAATGATTATATCTTTATAATCACTACTTTAGTCAATTTATTTTCCCACGAGAAAAGTTAACATTTAAAGGGTCCAAAATAAGCTGAAAAGATTACTTGATTGTTTCTAGGAGATATTACAGGCTTAGGTCACTGTTTTTTTTTTTTGTTTTTGTTTTTTTTTTTTTTTTGAGTGAGAAAATACCATAAGAAAATAAAAACAAGTGGTACCCCCTTGACCCACACCCTTCAAATAGAACTCACGGCTATAGATAAAATTAGTAAAATTACTCTAGGAATTCATCTTCTTTTAATGCATGGAAAATAGCAAAATTACCATGCCAACATAAGGAATATATGCTATAATTCATAAATGCTTAATTATTAAAATAATGACACAAACATGGTTAGATGCAACCTAGAAATATCTTATAAGATGCAACTACATAGTGTGTGGTCATTCCTGTTATATATTACATTGAATCTTCATCAAATTAAGCCAACCGTGTATAAATGACATTATGAAATAAACATTTAATATCACAATAGGGTCGTGTTCTGCTACTGTACATCCATGGCATGCAAGTAACTACGCATTAGCTGTAAACAGTAAAGTGTAATTACCTTCCAGAAATCCAAAGAACATGAAAGGTACATATATAGTTCTAAACAACTATATTTAAGTGACTTTCATATTGAACAAAACTATATCATATACAGCAGCTTTGGATATCTTTGTCACTGTTCTTACATATATTCTGTAGTCACACTGAAGGTAGGAAATGCAATACAAACTAGATCTGTTAGTGCTACTGAGTTTCAGTGAACTGTTGTCAACGTTCTTAGGAATCAAATGATTTTATGGCCTAATGTGAAAACTGTTTCGTTTTTCTTTTCTGCCGTCATTCAGAGCTTTGAGTTGTGAAGAATATGCTGAATGTGGGCACCAATGAAGTTATTTTGCAAACTGTAGGCTTTCTCTCATGGCACCAATATGTTCATATTAGAAATAAGAATAATATTGGTGCTTGCCAGCCCACACTTTCCTCTTCTTTTATTCTAAGTGAAAGAGCTGGCAGGAAGGAACTTGGGCCATGTTGTAACTTGGGAGGCGTCACCTCTAAAATACGCTTCATTCCCTTTGGGAAAGGCAAGTAAAATCTAGCAGCTAGGAGAGGAAGGCCAAAAGGAAACGACATGTTCTTGCAAACATGCAAAGAGATCATTCAGGTCTGATCCAATGATTCGTAGGCAATTAAAAAATTATCCTGTTGGAGCAAAAGCTGTACAACAACTATTTCAGCTCTCTTCAGGTTGTGGTATTGGAGGCTGTTTTTGGAAGGAGGGGAAACTGATCGCTGGACAGGCTTTTCCATGCTCCATCAGCTCTGCTAACGAGTGAGGTGGCTGGCATGGCCGACAGGAATGTCCTCTACACTCAGAATTCTAACACACAGCCTGGAAAGTGGCATGGGCTCTCCAACCAGACGACTCCTTCCACTCTGCGTTCTTGCTGGGTAGATGTGGTCACCTTCTCAGACTGAATTCGGAGAGAGCATGGTCATGTGAGACATTTAAACACATCTACGTCCTACTATTGAGTCAAAAATCTTACTTTCACATTGATAATGAGATAAAACAACATTTAAAGCCATTGCAACTTATTCATTTCCTGTTCATAGACAGGAAATAAATTTGCTTATGAGGCAAAAACTGTACAATTCTCATCATTCAGGCATTATAAAATGTCTTTCTTTAAAGTCTTGGGATATAAACAATTGATTTATATGAATTACCTATTTTTCATCAGCACTAAGAAACAGTATACATCTTCTTCCAGATTACTTTAATGCTAACTGTGAGAAGCCTAAGACAGCCGTAAAAACGGACTTCATCACCTGTGACCATCAATGCTATCATTTTTATAAAACTCACAAACATTCTTTGGCCACCTGGGTCACTGCCCACTTGGAGGGAACTGCATTCAGGCCTTGGGTCATACAGAGATCTGCCTCCATAAAACCTGAGGCCATAAAACAGCTTTAACGGAAGCCATTTAGGAAGTAAAACAGTACAGAATATACAGGGGCGACTTCCATTTCTCAGACACAGGTTCCTTGACGTGTGGAGAGATGCTTTCGATTCCGGACTCCCGAAGTCTTGTCTTTACTCTCTGAAGGCTTCTGCTGGGAAATGTCTACTAGAGCACTGGCAATTGCAAGGCCTGCAGGAAAAGGAGAAAGGGATTTACGTGCTGTGGCAACATTTCTGGGATGGTGACAGTGTGGCTCATGGTTCTGCTTTCCACCGTTTTCCATTTAGTGATCAAACATACAGCTGTAACTTCCAATAATTCAGACCTGTTAGCATCACACGTGAACAAGAACAAGGACCCAACAAAGTTAATTTACTCTTACTTTGGACAATCAAATTCAATGTTAGGTTAAAAAAAATCACATTCAGTTGTGGATATGATCCCATGCTGTAGTTCCCACGTCTGAACACATGTTTGTTCCATATATACCAAGAATTTTCAAAATCACTGTTCTGTTTTGTTTTTTAGGAGCAAAGCTCATCAAGATTTTTAAAAATTTAGAGAAGTTTTAACTTTAGAGAAATGTAACTGCTACTGATACATGTTTATCAGCTAAAGTCCATAGTGCACATGGGGTTAAATCGCAGTGTTGTACAGGTCTTTGGGTTTTGACAAATGCATAATGGACAAATGACATTGTTCACAATTATTCTATATTATTTCATTCTTGATAGTGAAGCCATACAGAATAGTTAGTTTCACTGCCCTAAAAAATCCCCTGTGCTTCACCAATTTGTTCCTCTGGGAACCAGGGATCTTCGTAAAATGTCCCTGATTTTGCCTCTTGCAGGACGTCACACAGTCGGAGTCCTGCAGCGTGTGACCTATAAGACTCTTCTCTCACCTGGAAATGTAAACTTCAGCTGCCTCCGTGTCTCCTTTTGGCCTGATAGCTCATTTCGTTTTATTGCTGAATGTGATTCCCCTGTGTGGGTCTACCATGGGCTCCTGCTGCAGGACATCTCGATGGCTCTCGCTTCCAATTTTTAGAAATTATGGTTAAAGCTGTCATAAACAATTGTGTGGAACTTTTTGTGTGGCTTGCAGTTTCCAGTCCTCAGACTCCTAAGAGCACGGTTCCTGGATAACATTATAAGTCGATACTTTGACTTTTTAAGGAATTGCCAAACTGTTTTTCAAAGTGTCTGTAGCTTTTCTTTCCTACCAGCGACAAATGAGCGCTCCTGTTGCTCCACATCGTCACCAACATTTGCTGTGGTCGGTGTTTGGATTTTAACCATTCTAATAGGTAGGGAGCAGTAGCTTACGGTTGTTTTTACGTGCATTTCTCTAATGATGCACAATGCCGTTCATGTGTTGATATATTTATTCGCCATCTGCATACCTTCTCTGGTGAGATGCTGCTCAAATCTTTGGCTCATTTTCTTACTGTTGAGGCTTAAGAGTTCTTTGTAAATTTCGGGTACCAGTTTAACAAATACACATTTGGCAAATATTTATTCATGGTACATGGCTTCTCTCAACCTGTCTTGAAGGACATGTGAGAAAGTCTCCTGGGGGGTCGAGTTGTGCTATTCATAAATGGACATGGAAAAAGACAATTTGTTAAAAAAAATTACTGGTAAGATGTTTTAGGTATATAAAAAGGACCTTGAGTCTTATTGGGAGAACGTGATCCCATATATGAACCTCTAACTACCATAGGTAACCAAATAGGTTATTGTGTTGTTACACTGATTTTTTTTTTTCATTGTTTGTCCCTTTATTGGAAGGAACATGTGAGAAGATGCTCAGGACAGTGCAGACTTTACAAATTTATGCAAATGCTGCTGAACCTAATGCCCTTGGTCTTCATAACTATACATGAGTCATTTTTGTTTCTGTTGGGTCCCATGAAATTCTCAAGTAAAACAAAACGCATCAAATCATAACACTAAACCAAGAGGCCAGACAGCTTGGTTTAGCTCATGTTCCTTTCTCCAAGGTCATGAAGACTTGACTCCGAATTGAGCTGATCTAATGCCCGGATCCTCACGGACATCTTCTCTACACGATGCTCTTGGAGGAAAGCCTCATTTTTGGATCTTGTCCTAGGAAGAGGCTGTTGAATTATTTGATTTCTAAGGCTCAGTTTATTCTAGAAGCTTCCTGGAACAGGGATTGTCAACAGCATGCAATGCCCATGGACAGACGTGAAGGCCATCAGAGGAAGGTAAAGCAGCCCCGTGCAGCATTGCAGAAGCCAAGGGAGGGCAGACCAATGGCATCTCTCACCATGGGACCAGCAGGATAGGGTCTGCTGACGGACGGGCCAGCATCTGGTGATCTTGGAGTCATTCTGCACTCACGAGAATGGACGCCTAGAATGGGGGTGCGAGGAAGTGGGGCCAGCAGACCCAAGTCCTATGTTTAAGATGTTCAGCAATGGAAAGAGAAAAGTAGGCTTATCCACTTGGAGCAGGCAACAGGGTCAGATGAAACATGCGTACATGTGTGTGGCTACATGAGTCTGTGGAGCCTCAAGTACATTTGACAACAGAAAAGAGGGTATTTGTGGAAAAGGATAAATTATGGTGTTAGAAAGGGAAGGGATCACTAAATTACAATAATTACTGGCTAGGCTAATAGTCTTGTACAAATAGATTTACTCATTCTCTCAGGATATCCAATATGACCCCGATACCCTAGAGATAACACAGTATTCAGAGTTTAAATAGAAATTGCTCTCTCGACCCAAAAGTCTTCAAAAAGAGCACATGTTAAGTTCTGAAGTGCACAACAGAGATGCTTTAGCCAATTATTCTTCTGTAGTAAAAAAATTATCTTCTTTTTTCTTTAATCATTGGAGCCCAGAACATTATAATTTTTCTTGAATCACAGACTTAGGCTGTGATAACTAAAGGTCAGGCAGACCTTAAGTTTCCACAGATCTCCTGGCAGGCTTCTGTCAAAATTTACAACTTCCTGCCATCTCATCCTTGGCATCATTGTGTCCAGAGATGGCCAAACATGACAAATAATGTACATCTCCTTTAATGTGCACTGAGACCACTTACACTAATTCCAATGAGCGTAACATCCAACTATGAAATCATGTTCTTCATTAAACCACGGCATGACCAAGTCCAAAGAAACTTAGGAAAATAATACTTTCCCAAGTGTGGCTGCAAATGGTGTTTTCCTTACAGTGCCAGGAGAGAGAGAAGTAAACAGTGTGAACTGCCTACACAAGAAATCCTAGGCTAATTCAAAACTGTCGCTGCATCTTTGACTTTCACGGTAAATGAAGTCCAAAACCTAATTAAAGTAGTATCTCTCACAACATATCCTGCGTTTACTAATGATTCTGAAGCTTAGGAATATGCTCAGTTGAGAAATCATAACCTATAGTTCAGCTCTTAATTGACAACTAAAATGGCAAATTATGCTTACTGTTAATTTGACAGCTCTCTGTCCTTTCCTGTGAAAATATAACAGTCAACCACACTTCCAGATTCTGTGTCCATGCAATCGTGGGTAGGAAACCTCGCAGTCCTCTGGTCATGACCTTTGAGTGTCCACCACGTGCACTCCCACTGGACACTCAGGGTTGCTTGCCCTAGGTCTCCTCTTCTTGCTGGGCGAAATGTTACATTCTTCCAGATTTAAACTTGGGTCCTTCACTGGACCACGCAGTGTGTATTCTATCATGAGCTGTTCTTTATCAACCTTGTAATTTAATTAAGACAAGCACAATAACTATAAGAACTGCATTTGTGTGTGGCATATCTTAAACGTAATGTTAAACAAGCTTTTTATTACTAATTTTACAATTCTTTATGTCTAGTATATGGTAAAGTTTTAACAAAAAACAACCCGGAAATTGCTAGGTCCTCTTTCAACCTACAAGAGGACCCGGATACTAGAGCGAACGGGAGACACATCCCTGTCGCCTGGATCCCGCAGGGTGCAGAGGACTCATTATAGAAAGAGATGAAGTAGTCGCGTTGCTGCCCTTCAGCATGCCTGGTGATGGCAGAGGATCTAATTTTCTTAATTGATAAAAAGAAAAGTCAAGTCAGTAGCACTTTACAAAAGACAATCTTATCTTACCCATCCCCTAAGTGTAACATTTACGTGCTATGGGAGACTGGAAGATAAGAGCCAGATAATGGCCAGGCCATATATAAAATACCACAGAACTCTGATCTGTTCTGCTCAGAAAACAAATCCATTACCTCTGACTGCCAGCCCAGCAAGGCAGCCTGCTGTGTGTCGGACCTACATGTAGGAAGTGGGTCCACTAGCTCTAGTAACAATCTGCTGTACGAGTGCCTCTGATCCCCAGGCCTTGATTCACAGCCCGTGTCTTCCCTAATGTCTGTCTTTTCTTCCAACTCACCACAACCAGAGAAAGCCAAACATGGAGGCTGGCCCAGGCGGAGGATGCCCGCTCGCTTGTCGTTAGCGGCTCCAGCTCCCCAGGACAGCAGCCTCCAGCCCAGGCAGCACTGGGGCTTCCCCTCTTCCCACCAGGAAGCTCTCCTGTTCCTCCACCTGCTTTTGGGTCGATGCCGTGAAGCACACGGTGGTGGCTGACCCCCTTGCTACAGCAGCTTCAGAGTCAACAGCTTCAGCTCGTTTTCATTTGGTTGGTCTTGGTTTATTTCCACACAGGCAATGAAGAGATAAGGATAGCTTGAGATAACTCCAGATTTTTAAAAAGAGATAAATAAAGTAAGTGATGTACAGGCAGGTTCCTTGTGTTGGCCGTTGTGGCACACGTTCTCCTGCCGTAGAGTTCCCCAGACTTCTTTCCCCTGGCTGGTTTTCTGGGAATGACCCTGAACCCTGCACGCCACAGGAGGAAGTGCTTCCTCTTAGTCGGAAGCTGTGCAGTGGCGCGTGCTGCGTGGCCACGAGTTCCATTAAAATCAGGTCACTCCAGAAGATCATTTTTCAAAACGTCACACAAATCATCCTATGAAATCCACTTATTGTGTTCGCTAGGCCTAGCATAGTTCCTTGTTATCAAAGCAATACAATTAACCGGGGGGACAATTCATTATTCTAGACTGGCGGTCTACAGGAATTTCATTTACCATGTCAAGATGATGCACAGACGCTTCGGGCCAGCAGAATTTACATCAAAATATATGGGGGCTTCACTAAGAATGCTGGGGCTCAAG